ATTCTTCCTGTCCACCATTTCACGGGATTTGTTACGATATATATCCTTACTGTCCCAGTTACGTATCCAAAGCGGGCGCCACTCCTCCCAGTCGATAACGGCTAAACCCTTGGCCCCCGGCTCACGTATATATTTCTGAACATCTGCAGGCATTTTTTCGTAGTGCTGAGTGAGACTGGCGAGCTGTGGAAGACCGCCATTCACCGCCCTGCCACCACGCTCGTAGTAAGGATACAAACCCAGTCGCTCCTTATAGAAAATGGTCAGATTCTGTCTCACAAAGCCCTCATTGGGAGACGCCACAAAGTGAAACTGATCCAGGGACAGCGTTACGCCATGTCGTGTGCAGTCCTGCGTTGGAGCGTTCCACACCAGGAGAACCGGCTTCTGGGAATATAGTGGCAATCTTGTCTGCTTTATGTCTGCTGAACAATGGAGCGTCCATAACGTAGTGAGAGTCAGGAGCCAACGGGGCAGCCGTGCAGCTGTGGTGGTGAGAGACTGGAGCACAGCCTGCATGGTTACACTTCGCCTTTTCTCTTCTTTCTCTAAAAGAATGGGGGAAAAGGAGGGAGAGGGAGGGGTTAAAATGCAGTTAATAAATACAGTTGAAAATCTATTCCACATACTGTACAAGTCAATGTGTTTCTGAAAAAAAGGTGTCAGTGGTGACATGTGAAAAAGGAGATTAGAAAAAAGGTGCAGGTGTCAGTGGTGACATGTGAAAAAGGACAAACAGAAGGTGGAGCAGTTTGAAAATAATGTTAACGTCGACCTGGAGATGGACGGTGAGGTGGAGGCAGCTGATTGACTGTCCTGAAGGGAGCAGCCAAAAGAAGGAGGACAGGAAAAGGAAAAAAAAAGAAGACCGGGAAATAGCAGCTTCCAGTACAAATACTGAGAAGGTGTGACTGATGGTTTAACAGGAAGTGCCCAACCACAAACACCTCGCAAACATCCCATCAAAAAAAAAAAAAAAAAAATGTTGCTGGTGATCAACCAGGGTAAGAAGATTTGAAAAAAAAGAAGAAGGTGATGTGTGAGATCATCAGCCTGAGGTGTGTGTCAGCGTGGAGGACCGCTCCACTGCATCAAGCACCAAAGACAAAGTCACTCTTTGTCAGGACTTTATTCAGTAACAATAGCGGAACATGACTAACGACTAATGACTAAATCTGTAGCCTGAAAATAGATTTAAAATAAGAAAATAGAACTGCAACAATCTGTATCCTCACTGAATTAATTCTTACTTCCTCTTCCTTTTTTCTTGCTAACTCACTAATTTCACAAGGTCAATATGAAACTGCAATAATAAGAACTGAGTACAACTATAACTAACTGTTATGGTTTTATCATCTTTTAATATATGTTTTGTCCCTCGTGACTCTTTATAGTTTTTTTAAAGCTAGTAAAGATAGTCTGGTTTTATGGAAATGATTCTCTTTACAATCAGCTGAAGAAGAAAAAGCGGAAGAGGAAGAAGAAATGTTTCTACTCTATATAAGGAAACTCGTCCCAGCATTTAACTTAATCTCATCCTCTTTTCTCATAATTATGCTTTAGAAAAGAGAGGAAAAAACTACTTTTTTAAAAGAAAATTGACAAAAAATAAACATAACACAGAACAGAAATAACACTGTATTTCCACCCACTTATAGACAACCATCGATTATGAAAACAATACGAATTTTATTCTTTTAAAAATCAATATTCTTAGCCAAGAAAATGACTGCCGGTGTTGCCACATATATACAGACTAAATAGACATCTTCATGATCGACTTAGGTTCAACTTTAGTTTATTGTGACACAAACCGAACAATTTTTTCCCTCTTTCCCCCAGACGTGACTAAGTTAGCAGGAAGAGCTGGAGGTTTCATTGAAACCGACAAAGGTACCGAGTTAGCAGCTAACGTGTCTCCTTGTCTTCCCCCGCTTCCTGCCCACACTGACCTGTTCGGAGGAAGCCCACGACACCGGTGTAGTAGTCCACTCATCAAACCACGTTTCCACAGTCCTGCCATGTGAAGAATACCAGCCATAGTCCGTTTAATCCATGTTCGAGTCTGATATTCGCGGCTAGCAACCCGAGGCTAGCACGAAGCTAACAGCGGGGACAGAGACGATGGATGAGAAGGTTGAGCAACAACAGCTCAGCGGCTCTGGAGCTGTCGAGCAGAGGGAGGAGCTGACAAAGAGTGTTGAAATGATGTGTATATACCCGTGGTCTGCAGAAGTCATCAGGAAGAAAAAGTTGAAAACAAAAATAAAATACATTCTCTGTTCTCTGTCATTAATTGTTTTTTTCCCCCTCTGCTGAATTCAAATCTGCTGGTGAAATCTGATTAGAACCAGACCCGGTATTGTCCTAAAATTATCTGAAGAGTTAAACTTCTGAGGCCAGTATTACTGCAGGTAAAGTTGATCTAAAAACAAAGTAAAACTTCGACCTTCATCAATATATTCCCCGTATATTATACGACCTCAGCTCCACCACGGTCCTTTGACACAAAGGTAACATTATGTCACGATAAGCTAAACGTTGTTCAAACCTCTGACTGAGGAACAAACACTTTAGGTTAATTTTTTTACTAAGCATATGTTTGTTTTAAATTGTGTTGTTACATTGTGATGTAAAAACTGTTCTCCATTTTCGGAGTAGTGCAAAAATGGCAACGTTTTTGTTGTTTATGAGGTTCTGTAGAGTTCACTGGAACTTTGGGGAACAGGGGGAGGGTGTTCCTGTTTGGGAATTTCCATCTAAAATGGAATTTTACTTAGATCAGCACCGTTAGTGTGGTTCTCTACGTCAGAGACTTTCTCAGAACACCAACAGTGGACTTAACTGTGTGGCCTTGGGTATTATTACAGTTTAGTGAAAGTAGAATAATCTTGGTGAGACCCTGTTTGGGTCTGTCTGAAGAGAGTGGATTCTCAAACTCCAATTAGCATAGCTAACAATGCTAACAAAGATCTTTGGAGCAAGGTCTGCTAATCCATTTTATATACAGGTTAAATCTAAAGAGTGTATTCAAAACTAACTTTCTTTTTTTTAAATGCGATTTTTCTTTCGTTTTGTTTCAAATGTGAAACATCACAACCGTTACTTTACTGTTTTGTTTTGGTTGCTGTTCCATTTTTCACCACCGTCCTTGATTGTGTGTGCGAGGTAAACAAAAAAGCTGAAAACTTAAACAAAAGACGTTACACGTTTTGGCGTATAATTTTTTTTAATTAAAAAACTGTTGTAATAAATTAAATGTGTGTTTAACACGATATGTCGAAGCTGCAAAGAAAAACAAACAGGATCTCCAGTTAAACTCACTGCTGCTGTTTACACGTGAGCTCCAGAGGTCACCGAGGTCAGACCTGATCTCCTGCAGCCTCTCACCCTTCAGCAGATCCTGTTTCATGCATAATAAAACCAGTCTAGATGGAGTCAAAAACTAATGTGTGCACACAAACTTCGCTGCTCGGTGTTTTTACAAGTGTGACGAGAAAGAACCCATTACTTTTCCCTTGAACGTCTGGAGTTCGGTGAATCACAAAAAGAAAATTAAATGGCAGCAACCAAATTCAGGACTGTCTGGTTCCATCTTGCACACATACCAAAACACACATGCACGCAAACCACAATCTGCCAACGAGGACAAGTCGACAGATTGACATCTTTCTTTACCCCGGCCACTGGTGACCTGCACTGTGTCTGTTCACAAGCCTAAACATCACATGCAGAGGCTCAGCATTAGGCATGTCCACATGAGAACATCACATTTAAATATTGTTGTTGATATTTCAAAAGGTAGTTCAGGGTTCCAGCTGAAAGACAACCACGGGACGGAGTTCACACGGCGGCTCGTGTGAGACGATCCTGGACACGTCGTCAGGCTTCACAAATGACAACTGGGAAATCTACATGGATGCACGGATGGTCCAGCTTTATAATTCCCTGTAACACACCAAAAGGATTTTTTTTAAATCTTAATCAACAAAGAGAACAGTGGTGACTGAGTACCTGGTTTGGTGTCACCGTTTCCTCACCTGAGGTGTGAGATTTCTAAGAACTCTTTTCAGTTTGGCCTTTTTGTGCCCATTCTTTGTCACAATCGTTTCTTCGTAGAACTCATGGGCCAAATCACCGTCTTCATCGAAGAACAAAGAGCTGCAGCAGAGAGAGAAAAAAATGTCAAACAATGCCTTAACATTCATTGATTACATATTTAGAAAGTGGCACTAATAGGTTAATTTACACATTTTTAGTTCCTTATTATTATTATATTGATTTTAAGTTGTTTTTCTTTACCTTCGTCTAGTAAACACGAAGGGTGTTGCGCCGGGGAAACTTCGTACTCTGGCCATCGACTGCTCATCTCCATCTTTGGCTGCATCATCCACACTACCTGAGCCAGAAAAAGGCCAAAATCCTCTGGACTTGGAGCCGCTACCCCCCATCTTCAGCTGCAGCACATTATTTTGTGGGTTACTGGGCGGCCAGCGGTGCTACAGTGTCACTGTTCCAGATGAAGTGAGTTCTGGAAATCTGACTGTGGAGAAATTACACATGAAATAAAGACGGTTAATAAACATAATTTCATTAGAAGTTGCACTTTATAAAAAATAATAATAAAGTGTGTTTTTAAGATAAGAACGTGGAGATGCCGGGGATTGAACCCGGGACCTCATACATGCGAAGCATGCGCTCTACCACTGAGCTACATCCCCTACGTTGATGCTCTTTTATACACAGTCATGAAACCCAATCTGTTATCAGTTGTCATGCTATTGTCGAATAACCTTGGTGACTCGTACTCTGCTGTTAATTAAAAAATATATAATAATAATAAAAACCCAGCTCGACTCTGTGACTACATTTTAGAATTTTTAGAATTATAAAATTCTGGGTTTGATCATTTCGTTTTTAAGTCGTGGATCCTAAACCCACTCAGGTGAACGAAGCAGGCCAGTGACATGATGACACTGCAACTACACTTGAACACACCCATGCCAACGTGAACGTAGCACCGTGTTCTGTTGGTGTCACCAAATGTGATAAACCTCAAATATGTAACTTGTCATCTTGGAGTCTGGAACATTCGATAAGATCTGGGCCCTAGACAAGAAGCAGCAGCAGCAGCTAACCTGGAGCAGCTAACCTGGGGCAGCTAACCTGGGGCAGCTAACGTTGACCGACAGGACAGTGATAACTGATAAACTGTCCGTTAGCCGCAGTTTAAACCTGGTCTGTGTCTGTCACTGTGTCTCCAACACCACCATTAAATCACAGTCTAATCAGTCTGTTAGCAGCATTAGCTGGGTCGTCATGTCCCTGTCTGCTTTACAGCCAAACGAATGCTGCTTTGGCGAAAGGTTATAATGTTAACGGACGTGACAACCCGCGTTAATCGACTCACCACAGTTGAAAACGTAGCCGACGTCGTTTGCTCGAGTCTGACGAGGTTTTTCTCGATGATATTTGTCAAGATAATGTGGGATAATAGCTGAGCCAGTGCTCATAGCACGATCACGGCTAGGCTAGTTGTGTTTGTGCTAACACACGACTCTTTCTCTTCGCTACGGCTACATAAGCGTGTTGTCGCCGCAGACTGGACAGGAGGAGGAATGAACCTGGTGACTCACTCTTCAATCTGGACTGTAAATTCTTAATTTCTCAAATCTTCTTCTATTTAAACCAAAATATGTTCTTTGGTAATGCACCTGAATATGTTTGAGAGGTGAAAGGAAAGGGAAATATATTTATTTAACACATTTTAATTTACTCTACCCTTTTAAGTAGATAAGCGGTTACTAAACGATGTTTCATGTTTCAAAAGAAAATAATTTTAGCCATAAAATAAAAATCTTAATATAGTATTTACAGGAATCCCAATAAAGACCAAATAAACCCCAAAGTATTAGAACCACTTTATTAAATAAACTAAACACAAATGCATTGTTTCACAGTTTTCACTTTCCCAGATCAGTGGTATTGTTTTTAAAAAAAGTGCCACAAAAATAACGATAACTAAATCCACAAAACAAGACAACATTCTAAATAACCACAATGTAGCAGCAGCAGTGTTTCATTTATAAAGAACTGTTTTTAAACATAAACTATTTTATTTCATCTACTTCACATCAGAAGGTGAGGTTGGCCCCAAAGTGTCAGTGCGCTCCGTTGGATCTCTGCAGGTGTCTCGGCATCACCTCTGCTCCTGACTTTATATTTATTTATTATTTAAGCAACACCGTCGTCTGAGGCCTTTCACTTCCTTTTCCACGAACCTGACCGGTGACTCAGGCAGGAGGTTCTCTTTAATACTTAACGACGAGGATCGTTTTTATCCTTCTGAGTCGTCATCCTCACCAGAGCCTGCGTTAGCTTTTCTCTAGCGAGAGCGTAACGCTTCACTATCTGCCGCACGTGCTCTTCTTCTTCACGCTGCAGGAATCGCAGAAAGTTGCACAGCTCCGGAAGGCTGAACGCATCCCACTGTGGAGACAAAGTCATGATACCAGAGAAGATCGTAAAGTTTCAAGACGGATTATTGACAGATTTATTATGTGATTATAATTTCCAAATGTGTCCAGTTTAAAATATTAAAACCCGTCGACACATCACATTCGACAGCAGTTTTACCTCCAGCTCCATCTGATTTTTTTCATTCCCAAAAAATGAAACTGAATTGTCTAAAATCCTTGGTCAAATTTCAGTCAAAATTGTGACTTACATTAATTTCCCCTGAGTTGTTTTCCTTCAAAATCAGACTCAGAGCTTTTTCACTGGGACCAGCGCACAGACGTAAACAGAGCGGGCGTTCGTCGTTGGACAGTTTACGCATGTACACTGCACAAACAGAAAGAAAAAAAGAAAGAATTCAATAATGAAACAAACAATTAAACAAACAGGAGAAAATTCAGCTTCATGAATCCACAGAGACCTTGACTTTGTCTCTCCGTGCGTTCAAACAGTGCAAATTTTGCCGGACTGTCCACGACCATGAACTTTTTGAGCAAAGCCTCGATGACCTCCAGCACCCGCGTTCGGCAGCTGATGTGCAGGTGTTTCGCAGTATCTTTCGGGAGGTAGAACGACGTCCGCCGTGACCTCCTCCTGGTCTGGTGCGCCTCCTCTGGTGTGGAGCAGCAGCTCTGAGCAGGAGGGAGGGAAACTGGTCGGACTAACTGAAAGTGCACCTTGATGAAACCGGTGAAGACGCCGTCTTTTTTCTGCCAGGGGGACAGATGTGCAGGGTTAGAAAGGTCACAAGGTCATTTTGAAAGGCTGTTGACTGAAGACAAAAACAGTCACTCACGACCAGCATGTGGAGATTGGTGTTGATCAGAGAATTGTACTCCTTCACCTTCTGTTGGATCTCTCCAACGCTCAGCTCCCGTTTATCTCTCTGTTCATCCTGGAATCAAAGAATCAACGGTTCCCAGGAACTGTTTAAAACAGCGCACCCAACAAATCCAGCAGCATCTGAACATTTAAAGATCCCACCGTCCGTACAGTCACGGTGGATTCAGACCTTAGGATAGAAAAACGTATACGTATACGCAGTGAAATATTCTTCCAGCTCTGAGCCACGGTCTTGACTGAAGGACGCGTCACCAGGTGATGAAGAGGTCGAGCTTTAGGAGTTTTTTCCTTCGGTGATGTCTCTCAGGGAAATGATCCTGGGAGCAGCTCTTCAACCATTGTTTTCCCCATTCCTCCTCCCACAGTAATAAACCTCACACACATGTAAACGTCCGTCCCACTCCCACTGACATCTGTGTTCATGCTCCTGATGTCACTGCCGTCTGAGAAAAGACATCTGACTCACTCTCCTGATGTCACTGCCGTCTGAGAAAAGTTATTTCTTTAATTATATTTAATAATAGGCAGGAATTGGTTTTAATTTTTTTAAGGTCATTTTAAAAGTGACTAAACTCAAACGTGACCAATAATATTTTTTTAAGGTTGACATTTGCCTTTATCTGACTTAACTAAAACAGACCATTAGTCCTCAGACTCAGAGGCAGTGACTTTAACAGGTTTAGGGTGACGTCATTAAGCTGCCACTCCCCCCCAGAACCTCCCCTCTCTTCACCCCCCACTTTCTCCTCCATTACTATCCCTGTAAGCCTTCACAAAGAGGAGCCAATAAAACCTAACCGAGGACATATGGTGCAGTGAAGCACAGTGGACACTAGTGGGCAGTCTGCCCCATCTGCTCTGACCAGCCCACCCACGCAACATGACACACAGATATATTTGTTTCCGGGACACTTTTTTCTTGTCTTTCAAAATAAAATTATAAAAATTAATTAAAGTATTTTACCACGTTGGTGTCCGTCTCCAGAGCATCGACACAGGAATCAGAAACCGGATGTTCCAGTAAACCTCCGTCTGTGCTGCAGTCCAGCTGGATGAGCGGTCGACAGCGGTGGTGGCAGGTGTAACTGCAGTCTGAAGGGGGTGGAGGAGAGAAAGAGAAAAGTCTTAGATTAATAAAAACATTTGTATATGAGGCCTATCATAACTATAAAAAATAAAAACATTTCATCCTGTATATATTTTTTGCCAAGTAAACCACTGTAAATTGAGACCATAAAAAAGTGACGTCACTTTGATTGGCGGTAAACGCATCATGAGTTCTGTGCCGTGATTGGATGGATTACTCTTATTCTTAGCGCCCTCTGTAGGACGGAGACACTCTCGGTGTTTGGGCGTGGTGGACGCCAGAGACCGTTTTTCCTGCTTGACTGCATTGTTTTCCGACTGCCACATTTGGAGGAGTCGAGATAAAGGAATGAGGAAGATTTTGTGGGGTTGACGCGGGGCCGTTAGTACAGAGGCGGGAAATACAGGACCCCCCCCCCCGACCGTCGTCCTGTCTGGTCCAGATCGGTCGGCCTGCTGCCTGTTTTAGCTTTTTAGGTCAACGCCCCAAGTCAAAAACATGTTGATCTCAGCCCTGTGACGATCATTTCTGTCTTCACTCTGATTGGCTGAGGCTTAATTATTGTTAATTAAATCTTAGGTCTTATCATAAAGTCTGAAGAATAATATGAATGTTGTATCATCCCAGAATGAACTTCTTTTTTTTTTAAATATAACAACGTGACGTGTTGAACCTGTTGAACCCCAGTGGTCACACATGAGCTGTTATCATTATTGGATTCTGACTGATTACATTAGAGCAAAGTGTGGGGCGTGGACTGGACTGGTTTCATTTTTCTCTCCGTCTTTCTGCCCTCTAGTGGAGAACATACTCACTGCTGCAGCGTAAACAGCGTTTGTAGAGACCCCAGATGAACTCCCCACAAAGGTCACACCAGGCAGGATGAGCCTGACTGCAGGGCTGGAAGTGGTGACCGACGCCAGCGCCCCCTGTCTCACAGACGGCTCCCTGCACGCTGACGTTTTCTCCAGACAAGTAGACGGCACGGACGGAGGGCTGACCCGTGCTCACAGAGGCGGGGGCCGCGGGGGCCGGGGGGGCGGCCAGTTCAATGGGATCATTGAGAGTGAGGTCTTTCAGCTCGATCAGCTCGGACTTTGACATGGTCTCCACCGACCGGTCCAGTCAGGAGGAGAGTGGAGCCACGTCAACATCTGAACCTCTGCTCTCTGAGAATGAGAGAAGTGTCGGGTTCTGACGAGATCCGCAGTTTGTGTCTGTGTGGATGAACGGATCGATCCCACAGGTTCCACTTCCACTGGAGTCTTTGGTGGTGGTGGGTGGGGCGGGTGGAAAAGAGACCACAATTATAAAGAGTTCTGCTGTTTATATGTGCAAAATCACACTGTGACAGTTGAGGGTGGGGGTGGGGGGGCAGGGTGACTGGAGCCAATCCCAGCAGTCATTGGGTGAGGGCAGTGTATGGTCTGAACCGTTCACACCAGACATTCACATTGACATTCACACTGACATTCACACTGACATTCACACCAAACGTTAATTTACATCCTGCAGGATTCTGGAGCGTACACAACAGGAACGACCTGGGCATCGAACCTGTGACCTTCTTACTAACTTACTGTTTAAGGCCCTGAGACTCTGATTATATAATTGGTTGTTCATTAAATTATCCTTAATACACTGGAAATATCTTCGTCTTTTTTATTTTTGCAACTGAAAATAAAGTTCGGTTAAACTTGACTAACTTTACTAATTAAAAAAAAACACGCTGAAGGTTAACGTATTTTGTTTTAGTTTACGTAAGACTCTACTTTAAATGTTAAAAAAAAGTGACCTGAACTTTTTCAGCTCTAGGTTAAAGTGTAACTGTTTTGTTTTTCTGAGTTTTGAGATTAAAGTTAGACTTTGGACTTTCCTTTTTTAAAGTTTAATTAAATATTTCACTCTGGTTAAAAGTAAAAACAACCAGATGTCACTGTTTTAGAAAATCTTTGATTTCATTAATAGCAACACCGTACATACAGTATCTGTCCGACAGCGCCACCAACTCTGACCATAATCTCGCTCCAATTGATTTTTCTTTTCTCAAACCTGAAAGAACATTAAAACAAACACTAGATTGTGTGGCTTAGATGAGGTAAAATGATTATCATTTAATTTTAAACATTATTTGCAGAAGTTTATACCTAAACTGAGGATATTTACAGGAACACATTTGGTTTTTTTTCTCCTTTTCTGATGGAATGTGATTCCGATTCCGCCCTGTTTGTTTCGGCTTCATTGTCTCCATGTGAAAGTGCAGTTATGTTCACGGTGACTTGAATGTGAACAGACCGGGGTTCTGTTCCTGCCAAGTGGGTCAACGCCGGGTGCAGTGATTCCCACAGAGAAACAACGGAGTCACCGCAGTGTTCTGAACATTCACTCACAACAGAATCAAACGTTCATCGTTAGTTTCACTTGTTGTTTCCATCTGTCTGTCTGTACTGGGTTTCATTCCCAAGTTCGCAGCGGCAGTGACGGTAATGTAGTCGAACTTTAAAATAATAATAATAATAATAAAAAAAAAATCTCACCTGGTCCAGGTCTCCACTTGGTTTTCCTTCAGTTCATGCAGGATCATCAGTCGACAGATTCACTGAGTTCTGTTTGTTCGCCTGGGATTAACGTTTAATCCTCAATATGTCACTGGACCATCCTGACAGAGAGACACCAGGGGAGGAGGAGGAGGAGGAGGAGGAGGAGGAAGAATGTAGGATTAAAGTACGTCACGCACACACGCGCAGAAAAACACAACCACTAACAAACCGCATATATTAATAATAATAACATAATAAACCTCAACAATAATAACAATAATACCAAAACAATATTTAAATCAATCATATCATTTTATTATATGTTATTTTTTATAAAGTGATAATGATTGATGGTTGATTGGTGTTTGTTATAGGTGTAACATGTAAATCGGTTTGTCGACCCTGCATCAAGCAACTATAAAGCCATTTGTAATTATAATCATTTAAATAGAACATTTTAACATTTTTTGAGTAACAAAAAACTAGTGTATTTTAGATTCAGAGCTCGTGCTGTGACGTGTAGCTCTAAAAAAAAGTATTAATTTTATTAACAAATTTGTAAACAAATGAATCCTTCCTTCCGCTAGTTTCCAAATTTGACTTTAATCATGACTACTTTCCCGGACTATCCACGTCATACATCGGTCAAGTAAAAAAAAAATAATAATGGAAACTGAAGTTTCAAAATAAAACCACGCAGACGTTTTTGAATTCACAGAAGACGATAACTGGGAACTAAATCAACTATTCACCACAGGAAAAGTTGCGATTTGATCAATAAAAAATATAATATTTCAATTAAATGAAAGTTGCGATTTGATCATTAAAAAATATAATATTTCAATTAAATCATATTCTCTTTTCAGTAATGGTTGGACATTGATTTGTTGTAACCTTTGTGTACAGATCGTTTATTTTGAAACAAACAGGAAGTTACCTTGTTATGCCCGTGGCACTGTGTAACAACGAAGACTGATTGATTGCAGAAGTACAGATGTTTTCCTGCGTCTGTCAGACAACGTTATGTGTCATTTTTGTCACATTAACATTCGCGTTCAGCCTTTAACTACACTCTGTTTTTACATAAAGAGGAACTACGAAAAAAAGCATTTTCTCTCATCTACCTTCACTTCCGCTTTGGTTTAACTCCGACTCCGAGAGTTCATCCTGGGTAACAGCGCCTTTATTTTCTAATCATGGTTCAAAACAAAGAACCCGAGCCGGAACCAAGGATCTACGGCTGTACCCGGACAGTTTCTTCGGTTCTGACCCACTTTATCTGCATTGCCTTCAGTCTTTGCATTACATTTCTGAGTGGACCGGGTTCCAGTGAGTGACAGCGGCTTACACTCACAGTCATTGAGAATCATCTCATTGGTTGTTGTTTTTCTTTCTTTGTCGTTTGTTTGTTTCATTTATTTGTTTTATTGTCCTACAGGTTTGTTTTCCTGGCATCCCTTCTTCATGACGCTAGCTGTAAGTTTTATTTATTTATTTTTTATGTAGAAACTTTATGAATTGTTGTTGCTGTGTTTTTTTCCTTCTTCTTGATGAGGATAAAAACATCTCTTCTGGTCCTTCACAGAAAAAAATATCAACCCATTAAACTGGATGCAGTTCTTGCTAAGTGCTAGTAGTATTTTCAACTTTCCTTCTTCTTGATGAAGATAAAAACATCTCCTCTGGTTCTTCACAGAAACAAATATCTTGCTAAGTGCTAGTAGTATTTTCAAATGGGTTAAAGTATTTTCTGGACTACATGAAGGCCAGTAAAACACGTGCAATAATTGTCGCTGTCTATACCTTTATTTTAAAATATTTTTGCTGATTTAAAAAACAAAACAAAACGTCAGCATGTTGCATTTTCAGTCATCACCAAACCAAAAGCGTCGACTCATCTGACCATAACATACTGCCGGTTTGGCAATAAACAAAGTAAACATTTAAACGACTGCAGTACAGACGAGTGTCACAACCTTTACTAGGAATAAAGTTTATAATGTGTGTGTTCACAGTCCACTGCTTTATTTATTTTTCTGTTGCTCCAGTTCTTTTGAATGGAGACCACAAATAGAAACACGATTAGCGGCGTATTATCACCACATGACCCGTTTCCTCTTCCTGTCTCCAGTTCTCATTCTTCATGACGGAGGCCATTCTCGTCTTCTCCCCTCACGGCTCGCTGATCAAATGCTTCCCACACAAGTTTAAAGTCCGTGTCCACTGGATCCTGCAGGGTCTGTGCGTGTCCTGCGCGGCCCTGGGCGTGGCGGCCATCTTCTACAACAAACACCTGAATGGAAAAGCCCACTTCACCTCCTGGCACGGTCTCCTGGGCCTGGTGACGGTGTGTGTGGTCGTGCTGCAGTCTCTGCTAGCTCTGCCGCTCATCTACCACTCCCTGGCTAAAGGCTGGTCACTGGCCAAACTCAAACGCTACCACGCCGCGTCGGGAATCGTTACGTACCTGCTGGGCTGCGTCAGCCTCCTCCTCGGCCTCTGCTCCACCTGGTTCACCTCCTCTGTCAGCGGATACACCTGGTACCTGTCGGCACTCTGCCCGGCCATCAGCTCCCTCATCATCATGAACCAGGTCACCAGAGCCTACATGGCCAGGAAACGGTTTCAGTCCTGACGTCAGACACGGTCCTGGGACTGAGAAAATGTGTTCATCTCAGAGACTTCAGTTTTGATTTGATTACAAGTCCAGTATGAACAAAAATAATCATTTCACCGTGTACATATATAAACATGACTGATGCCACCACTGAGCACAGACCTGGGGTCACTGACCTGACCCGGCTCACTCACCATATTACCAAACATTTAGGTTCAGACTCTTTCCTTATTTAAGATTTTCAGTATTTTAATTCTGTACGTTTTTGAATTTGTCAAACATTTAAAATAAAGGAAAAATGATTGAGAAATTGTCACCTGGTGTTTATGAACGTGTGATTCCTGGTGTAATTACATGGTTTGATGAGAAGAGGGTGCTACATGAAAAATATTCCCTTGACTCAGATAATCAAATAATCAGAGCTGGTGAAGACGATCTTTCTGAGCGTCTTTCTTCAATTCCTGCCAGTACAGCAGTGTTGTGTTTCAACTAAACAGGTCGAGATTTTAGTCAATTATGAGGTCATTTAAACAAGAAGATTATTATATTTCATTACATATTTAAAGGAATTCTTTTTAAAATACCATTTCCCTCAACCTTTAAATAACTGGTACCCACTTACACTCCTATAGTGTTTTATTGTTAAAATAACATTGATAACACAGTCATATTCTGCTTCCTTCTAGACTTCGTTTCAGAAACTCTCACTGGATAAGTCGTCAGTGGGTCAATCAGAACAAATGTAAAAAATAAAATGCTTACAAAAAAACACACTTTACATAAATAAATACATTTTAGACTTGCAATAACAAAGAAGAAAATGCCACGTGAGAGAACATAAGGTTATAAAAACATATTTTAGAAAATAAAACAAATAAATCCTGTAAATCAGGAGCGACTAGAATAAGAAACGACGTTTTTTCATTTAAAGTATGGTCAAGTCCCAAAATGAAATGTTCAGTTTTTTTGCCAAAGGACTGAAGTGAGAGAACGGTCACGTGGTCAGATTTACTTTTAAAGCAGGCAGGAACCAGCTCCACCTTCGAATTCAAACAAGTTTTCAAAGCATGCTAGAAAAAGAAAAAAAAACACAGATGTCTGTGATGATCCATCAGCTGCAGCTAGAATGTTCTGGAAAAACAAAAAAGAACAAAAAAAAAAAAGCCTGGAGAGAATCAGACTGTAGCCCCATGAAAAAAAACCCCATCTCTACATCAACACGTGTCTCATATCGTAGTGAATGACTGGAATGATGTCGTCTCTAAACCCTAAAACCTTGAGGTACAACACGGAAACACAAGCAGCACACAGCAGGTGTATCGACAGTGACCGACACCAACTGCACCGCACCGCCACCGCACCGCCACCGCACCGCACTCAGGCCCTACAGCTACCGTATCATGGCACCGTCAGTTTGCTAAGGCCAACGAGGTTCAGCCAAAGTCACTGGTGGTTGTAGTCAAGTCGCGTCTGTGTGGACTTGAGTATTTTCACACTCTCACACACACACCCACACACACTCTCTCTCTCTCACACACACACACACACACCCACACACACTCTCTCTCTCTCACACACACCCACACACACTCTCTCTCTCACACACACACACACACACACCCACACACACTCTCTCTCTCTCACACACACCCACACACACTCTCTCTCTCACACACACCCACACACACTCTCTCTCTCACACACACCCACACACACTCTCTCTCTCTCACACACACACACACACACCCACACACACTCTCTCTCTCACACACACACACACACACACACCCACACACACTCTCTCTCTCTCACACACACACACACACACACACACACCCACACACACTCTCTCTCTCTCACACACACACACACACACACACCCACACACACTCTCTCTCTCTCACACACACCCACACACACTCTCTCTCTCACACACACCCACACACACTCTCTCTCTCTCACACACACACACACACCCACACACACTCTCTCTCTCTCACACACACCCACACACACTCTCTCTCTCTCACACACACACACACACCCACACACACTCTCTCTCTCACACACACACACACACCCACACACACTCTCTCTCTCACACACACCCACACACACTCTCTCTCTCTCACACACACACACACACCCACACACACTCTCTCTCTCTCACACACACACACACACACCCACACACACTCTCTCTCTCTCACACACACCCACACACACTCTCTCTCTCTCACACACACCCACACACACTCTCTCTCTCACACACACACACACACCCACACACACTCTCTCTCTCTCACACACACACACACACACGGCCTGTACAAATGTAATGGTCTTCTACAGTTTAGGTAACAGTTTTCTGAAGAAACCTGTAGTATAAATGTGTGTAGTTTAAGTCACTGATGTCATTCAGAACAATGGTTAGGACACTTGAGGAAAAAAAACAAAACCCAACAACCCAGCAGCGATGGACGGGCTTTAGCAGACGAGTTAGCCGCCATGTTTGTCTCATGTGGCCCTTATATTTAGTCTAAACGCTAAAAAAAATGCTTCAGACTTGTTTGGTGAAGTCGTCAACTCTTTGAATGCTCAGTAGTTCTTTCTTCCAACAGGCTTTTGAAAGAAATATAAAATGCCCCTATTTTTTTTTTTTTTAATTAAGGCTGAAATGAAAAAGCACAGTCTGAATCCATGTCCCGGCCCGAGAGAACTGAAGGCTACCACGAAGTACATTCATTAGAATAAACTAGAAAAATTCCAACAGAAACGTGTTTGCTCCAGGTTTCTGCCAGGTTTGTGTCTCCGTCCTCGTCCTCGTCCTCGTCGTGACTAAAAAATTAACCTTCAACGACCAACGTCTACACACGGCACAGTATCGACTTGGGAACAGAGATAATCGTACGAGTGCTATGTACAAAATATGAACAAGTACAGCATCACATGACGTAACACTTCAGACAGAGGTCACCAAGATGTCTACCAAACAGCTAACGGCTAATATACGCTCTCAAAGTCTCAACAGTTTTGATGTAGACAAAAAGCTTCGAAGGATTTTCTCTAAATATATTCCTCATCTGGAGCTTGGAAATGAAAGTGACTGACGATATCAGAGCCGCTCTGATTTAAACACTCCAGCGCTTCGCAGCAATATATCAGGAGAAAATCCAACAGTTTAATCCGAGGTTATTCCGTCTGAATAACTGTAGAAATGTAAGTGACTGGCTGCACCGTGAGGCCTGCATACAAATGAAGGGCAGGCCGTGCACGGGAAAAAAAAAAAAAAAAAAAAGCTACCTACAGCTTCATCTGGTCCCCGCGTGACAAACCGCTGCTCTGACGCTCCGGGTGAAGTCTGGGATGTTCAGCATTAGGATTTGTTACCGACTTTAACAAACTCAGAGGTTTTACTGTATTTACACGTCACATCACAGTCACTGCCGTCTGCACAGGAACCTCAACACAGAGACCATCGCAGGACCGGGACCTTCACGTTATTCTGGGTCGTCTCACTTCTCACTTACATTGAATCAAACGTTCAAAAATGTTGAGGAGAATCTGGTCGACACAGACCAGGGGGTGGATAACAACGTCCACCTACGAACTGTGAAGTGGATTTTTGGGGGGAGGATCTGGGGGAGAGGGAGGGTGTGGGTGAACTTTGTCTCTCACCTGAACCAACATTTTTTAGTGACGACTCTACCCTCCTTCACACGTCTCAGGCAGAACAAATGTGAGGGTCTAACTACTGTGGCCTCAGATCAAGTTTGGGTCGAACACGTGACCCCTCTGTCCTGTGATATTCACTAAATCGTAATGTAATTACTCCCATTCCTAATGAACTCGTTAGCCATGAAAACAGGAAACCACATCCTCTCTACTGTCCCGTCACCTCTATGACATCATCGTCGGAGCTGCCGCCGTTCTCCATACTCTGATGTCCGCCTGGTTGGGTCAGCGCTGCCCCCAACAGGCTGGAGTTAGGGTTGTTGTAAGAGCAGAGGAAGTTGGATGAATTAGAGGTGGGGTTAAGCACAGGGAAACCCCCCGACCCCGAGAGAAGAGAGGAGGGAAACATCCTGGACTCGGAGAGCAGCGGCTGACTGTAGCTGAGGGGGTAACCTGTGCCGAGCAGACCAGACATGCTGGGGTTCATCAGGTACGGGGGCAGAGAGGACGAAGTTGTTGCCGTGGATGTGGACGACAGAGGAGTGGTGTTGGACGCGGAGGAGAAGACGGTGGACAGGGAGGAGGAGGAAGGAGCGGCGAGGTGTCCGTTCCCAGCGGCGGTCGCTCTCAGCAGGTCGGAGCCTGCGGACGGGAGGATAGTCTGAAGGTCGGCCAGCGTTTGTCCTGGTGTCTGCAGGAACGACGAGCCGCTACTGCCCCCCAACAGCAGTGGGTGATTCATGGCTCCCAGATTACCCAGCAGTGGGGGAGAGTTCATTCCCACGGGAGAAAAACCGAGGCCGCTGGAGCCCATGGTGAAGCCAGGAAAATGTGACGCTGTCACCGAGGAGCGTTTGGTTCCCACCTGAACACCGGCCTGACTCTCAGTACTTTTGCGTTTGGTGCCGTGCATCTCTAGCGTGGAGGCCAGCAGCGAGTCGCCGAGCTGCCCGCTCAGATCGAGACTCTGATTCTTTTGTGAACTGCCTCTATCTCCATGCGGCACAACTGATAAGAGCGCCGGCGACAACAAATCGTTGCCCGCGTTACCGACTGCGTCTCCCGAGGATGAACCAAAGCGCCCGAGTTCTCTGAAAATGTCAGAGCCCAGAGGAGAGGAAGGCTGCTGCTCGCTGTTGGGGGAGCGCTGTTGTTGATCCACCGGAGAAGAACAGCCGTTGGTTATTGGATGGATGAGGGAACCCTGGGCGTCTGTGAGAACGAGAAATTCAGATGTAAAAATTCAGAGGAAAAAAACCAAACAATTCTATAAAGCTGCCTGAGTTTGTGGCAGGTACGGCTGACCCAGTTGATACTAGTATCCCCTGAACAATGTAATAATAATTCAAACTAATGTTGCTCCTTCATGAACAATGTAATAATAATTCAAAAGAAAACTAATGTTGCTCCGACAGTTCTGACGCCTGATTTACATGTTTTACTAAACTAATTAATACAAAACAAAAAAAGAAAATCTTAAACCAAGTCTTGCTCCTGTCCCTTGTGTTAAACCAGCTCCAAACTGCTGACGTTGTTGACCTAGTTAAATAAACTACCCCTGAAGGTAGTAATGAGACACTTTACTGCAGCAGGACAACAACACCGGCTG